TTTTTACAGATTTCTCCCCCAATTATTTGTGTGATTGTTCCTGTTCCACTTATTACCAGACTATGAATCCTCCAGTGTGGGAAGCTATACCTTAATCATATGAAGTCAACTAATGTGCTTATGTGTTTATCAAACGCTTACTGTGCTCTGACTGGGTAACACCCAGGCCCTGTACTCATGAGGCCCAATACATAGTAGTGGATGAAAGAGGTATACAGGAACTGAACTGGTCAGATAGTAAGTGAATAACCAAGACAGTTTTGATGTGGGATTCTTACTGCAATGGAAACAGCATTAGCTAGGTGTGGTAGCTCATGCCTGAAATCCCAAAATATCTTTTTCTTAATTTGCAGAGAGGCATACTCCTTGACCAGGGCTTTGTGGCTGTTTGTGAAGGAAAAACATGAGAACACAGAGTGACTAAATACTTGGGAGGCTCAGACAGTGGTATTTTCATGAGTTTTCAGTGCTCTTACAGAGTACCAAAGTTTATTTCAAAGCTCACAGCCAACAGTAACTCTGGATAGAAGGGATCTTCCATCCTTTTCTGTCTTCTCTCTGAGCACACATCCAGATACACACACACACACACACACACACACACACACACACTAAATCAGACAGGGGGGAGGAGATACCCCAGGGGAACTGGTAGGGAAAACATGAGTGTATGAGGGAGCTGAAGCTATATCCCTTTGGATGCTAAGTCAGATTTGAAGGAAGTAATATTTGTACTGAGACCCCCAAGGATGAGGAGATGTTACTCACACAAAGAACACAGGAAAGAGAGTTGGCCATTCAGAAAATTGCAAAACTGTCATTGGAAATAAAACTTAAAGAATAAGAGAAAGCTAAGTCCCATGCTAACAACCTAAGTGCTAAGACTCTTCAGGACAGGGCTAGTTGTAAACTCTAGGAGCAGTACGGGGAAACCCAACTCTGAGGCATGATAGAATAATTCTTAAAGACAAGACTTGCTATTGGCAAGATGAGAGAGACAAAGGGTGCAGCTTTGAGCTATGTGAAATGTTTTTCTATTTTCCCAGAATCCAGGAAACTACTTAGGAAATTTATGCAAATAGTTTTCTTTGATGGAAGACACAAGGGGGTGAATTGAGACACTGTGAGGGATGTCTTTGGGTGTAAGCAACTTTAGGAACCCCATATGTGTTAAAGATGCACAGAAGAAAGCGTGCTAGAAATCACCTTAGCAATAAATAAATAAATAAATAAATAAATAAATAAATAAATAAATAAATAGAATTAGAGATACCCAAGAATTATAAGGACATAACCCTTAACCTTGTCATGTACTAAAAGAATATAGAAAGCACATTCTAATTATAAAAGTGGCACAAAAGATGCCCAAACTCCCACATCAGTTTGCTGATTCCCAAACCCCCAACCCAAATATCTAGGAGTTCTTTTTTGAGAACCCCTCTTCCCCTTCATCCAATAGTTGTAGAGGAGATGAAAGCCAACATGAATGTTTTGCTGAACTGATTTCTTAAAGTACCCCCCACCCTCTGTGTGCTCCATACCTCTCCCACCCCAATCACTGAGATGTCTAGAAGATGATTTGGAGACACCTGGACTTGTTAATTAACCTAAACAGTCACATTCATCTGCAAGGTGCATTATTGTTAATTAAAACCACGATTCTCCTTGTGCCCAGCCGGCCGACTGCTGTTGTCAGAATAATTAGATAGCATAGGATGGTTTTCATGCAAATTCCTGGCAATTAGAGTTGGCAATGGATTGAGTTTGAAATCCCAGTGAAGTTCTCAGTGAGAATTCCTCAGAGGCTACAGAAGAAAGGTGTTCGGAGACAGAGAAGGAATGTATAGGTGTGGTGGTGGATGAAAGGATTTATGAAACAGGTATTTGTTTTCTTAATCCTTGAGGGTATGGGGCTCTGCCAGAAATAAATGAATTATAAGCATCAATGTGATATTCAAACTTTCTTCAAGAAAAAAAAAATCTCTCCCTTAATGTAAAATGACCCTCCCTATGGGCTTTTTGTATTCCTAAGAGCTTGTTTTCTGACTTTCATCTTTCTGAGAGGAGTTTTTCCCTCCTTCACCAAGATGCCCAATAACTCATACACAGATAAAATCCCTTCAAACCCTTATATTAAACTCTAAGGAAACTATTTGTATTCTTGAAGGGTTGAACTTGAATGAAAGATGCCAAGTCTCAGCCCAATTTTTGAGTTTCCACCCATTTACTGGTACCCATTGCATTAAGTGGGTCTGGATAGCAGGTCTCTGAGGAAAACTTCAAGAGTTGGCTGAAGTCAGAGTCAGACATAAGGATGAACTACCCAGCTGCAGTATACATAATGGTAGGGAAAGGGCAGCCTCAAAGGGCCTTGAGCAAGGCAGCAAGGGTGGGGGAGGGGATGAAGATGAGATAACCATAACCATTCCTGTTTCCAACACACTGTGACTTCTTATCAGCTGCTGGCTTCTGTTTCTGCCTTCCTTTTGCAAAGATGTGATAGCTGTTAGCAATCACCAAGAGGCTCTCAACTCAGAATGAGGATGGAGACCCCTCTGGGAATATGGGATTGAAACAAAAGAGACACCCCTAGTGTTAGGCCAAGTATCCCCTGAACCATGGAAGCATCAGGGAGACAAAACAGCCTTAACATTTCTTCAATTAGGTCAGCCTCTAAATCTAGTCTCTTGTAGGAAAAGCAGTTGGAGATTCTTCTTCTTCTTCTTCTTCTTCTTCTTCTTCTTCTTCTTCTTCTTCTTCTTCTTCTTCTTCTTCTTTTTCCTCTCTCTCTCTCTCTCTCTCTCTCTCTCTCTCTCTCTCTCTCTCTCTGTCTCTCTCTTTCTCTCTCTCTCTCGTGTGTGTGTATGTGTGTGTGTGTGTGTATGTGTGTGTGTAAATGGCAACTGGAAAGGAAATAAGAATAAAACTAAAACACCAGGACACATTCACCACCTCTGTGGTTAGAGACCTGAATGTAATTTAGGCTTGTAAATTATTTCCTTTTTCCTTGTTTTCTTTCTCTTCCGTTATGTTTCAGAATGTCTCCCATGTCTCAATCGACCCCACAATCCCGCCTTTCCATTTATGTTGCACCAATCAGGAACTAAACCTGGTTGCTAAGAGACCAGAGTAGGGAGATTTAAAGGCTTTGTCAAGGCACCCACCCAGGAAAATTCCCTGATCCTTTTGCACTCTCAGTCTAGGATGCTTTAAGTCATTCCTGACTCTTTTTTGTACTTTCCTCTCAGTCCTTAAACCCAGAAAGTCATGCATAGAACGTCATGCATATGTCAGGAAAGAAGAGAGTAGAAAGCATCTTTGAAAGTGTGGAAGGATCATTAAGTGGATTCAGATAGACATGAAGTATCTGCTCAAGTTTTCCTGGGTGGGCTTGAGGTGCTTGCAGGGACAAGCTTCCTTTGTGGTCTTTCCAGGGAGAGGGTTAATTTGTTGTTGGTGACAGTGTCCCATATGAAGAGCGTCTTGCTTGCTGTCCTCCTAATGACCACCCAAGCTTTATTGAGTAGGACATGAAGAAAACCCTCCGAAGTCACAACAGCAAACAAGGGAACCAGGCATGTGTAGGGGACAGATTTCCTGGGATACTAGGATGTATAAGAGAAGGAGAAAAGAGACTGGCATGGGGTAAAGGCTTCCTTTGAGAGCTGGATTTTGAAAAGGAGGCTTTGGCAATTCCAGTCCAAAGATGAATTGGATCAAGGTGCCTTCCATTCAGATGCTTCACCATTAGTTTACATCATAATCTCTTGCTTCTATACACCACACCCAGAAAGGCTGGACATAAACACCATTGTGAATGAACTTACAGAATAAAAATTTCTGTCCTAACACCCTGAATAGGTGCAGCACAGAATTAAGTTAGGAAGGGTCTTCTACTACAGTTTTGTGTACCTGCATGGATATGTGTACTGCAGAAACTGACTGAGATGTAAGTTCATGCATAGACACATTTCGCTGTGTGCATGCATCTATTATAATATGGAAATGGATCCTAACAGATTGAGAGACAGATGTACAGAGGCACACACACAGAGGGGAGAATAGGAGTCACGATGAAGAATAAACCTGCAAGAGCACACAAACACATATGTGTATGCATGCATGCACATACACAAACTCAAATTCACTCAAGCACACATGCATTCACACACACACACACACACACACACAGAGAGAGAGAGAGAGAGAGAGAGAGAGAGAGAGAGAGAGAGAAGCATACAGATGAATCAAGGTCATGGTGATGAAACAACCTTCGAAAGAGCAGCATTCAGAGATGTGAAGGGGAGAAATGGAGAAAAGGGGGGAGGGAGAGAGAGAAGGATGGAGGGAGGAAGGGAGAGAGAGAGGTGGGGAAAATAGGAGGAGGTTGTCCAGGTCATGATGAAGAATTAACTTGCAAAGACAGCCCCTAGGAAGCAGCATTTTACACTATTTTGATATATGCCCTGGACTGGGCCATAGTAAACGTCACTGGCCAAGGTGACTGGCAGCCCTAGTAGGGCAGCTAATCTCCACTATTCTGGGGCATGCCTCTTTCATTTTCTACCACTGTTCTGACTGCCAAACAAAGCCAGAGAAGACAAAGATGACAAGGAGCACTCGGAAGGGTCAGACAGAGGAGTGGGCAGGACTATTGTTTTGGGCTTTGCTGCCTGTCACTCATTGGTATTTTTCTTGCTTTGGTTTCTCTACCCATTCCACTTGTTTTCTGAAATGAGTTCCCTTTTTTTGTGTTCCTCAAACCGTGCCTTCTGATTTAGAGAGTTCATCTTCTCTCATCCTACTGTTTCTTTTCTCTAGTTCCATAAGAAGACAATAATCACTCACCTCCAGAGAACATCTGTATTCCCTGATGTTGTTTGTCCACCACTCTCTTTCTTCCAGGACAGCTCTAGGGACAGGAAAGGAAGGCACGTGTTGCTCTCCTTTCCCTCAGTGCTCGTTCTCTTTAACTCCAGACAAATCAAGAAAGCACCAGCTTCATAAAAGCAGTATAGACTTTAATTTAAGTTGACATGTGGGAAAAAAACTACGACTTGCCTACAAGGGCATCCATTTGAGAAGCCTGTCTTGCAGGGAGGGAGAGTGAGGGCAAGAATTTACTGGTGGTCTGGTGGCAGAACAGGGCCAGGAGCAGTGGTGTAGCCACACAGTGCAGCATACTCAAGGCTTCTGCCACATTCAGCATTGCGTCAAGAATCTTCTGGGATTGACATGTATGCAGAAGCATGATTTTGGACCTTACCAAGGCATCAAATATGAGAACCACCCCATGAGGCCACCAGAAAATGAACCAGATCCACAGGACACTAACCCAGGGGCCTGGCCCCTTGCTCAATGCTGTCTTCAGCCCCTTGGCTGCCAAAAGAGTCAGTGGCAATACTGTGAAGATGATAAAACAGATGGCAGAATGTGTGTACTTCAAAGCTTCTGTGTCACTGTAGAATGGAAAGGTGCAGAGGCCATTGTAAACATCACTGGCCAGAGCGACTGGTATCCCTAAGAGAGCAGCTGCTCCCCAAAGTCCCACACTGACTGCCAAGGTGAGGCCAGGAAATTGACCAATATTCAGTCTGGGGTTCAGGCAGGCATAGCATCCTATCAACAGAGCCTGGGCAAAAGCAGAAGTATACCAGACCCAGTAGCCCAGGCTGCACAGGGCTGTGCTATGGGCACTGTATAAGCCTGGTGTCAGGATGGGCACTGCAACGCTGAACAGGGCACTGCCTGCTGCTAACTGTGCCAGAATGGGCCAGCTGGGGCAAATCTGCCAGTGGAAGAAAGGTCTGAGAATTGTGAAGAGGATGCCACCGCTTGCCAGCATGCCCAGGACACTGGTGAGAATGAAGAAGGGCAGTGAAGAACTGTCAAGCAGGTTACAGGAGTAGCAGGGAGCAGCTTCTGTCAGGTTGTAGTCACTTAGGAATTCATAGGAGGCGTTATCTTCATAAAAATCATTCCAGTTTTCGAAAGTAAACTGAGTTCCATTCTTGTCTAGTGAAAGGGTTTCCACCTACAAAGTACACCCAGAAGGGACAGTCAGGGCACCTCAATAAAGAGGCTGGGGTATGTGCAGGGCTAGACAGAAGGGGAACTTGGGTTTGGAGAACAGGGGTCTTCTGGGCAGACATGGGTGCAGTGAAATGAACATGGTGAGCAAGGAAGCTGAGGAGGAGCCGGAATGGTCAGAGCCACAGAGAAGCCTGGTCAGAGCTGTGTAGAGAGCAGATGGATGGAGGGAAGGTGGAGACAAACCTGCTTAAACTGCCTGAAAGATGGGGAGAGAAGAAACAGGGTAGGAACAGGACACAGGAAAGGAAGGGCAGAGATTTTTGAAACAGAACAAAGAAACACAGGCATGAGGATTATGAGAAAGTAGAAGGAGCACTGAGACAGAGACAGGGTTATGGAACATGGTCCCCACACTCACCGGGTACAGACAGTTCCCCATGGCACTGCAGACTCAGGGCAGCAGAGTACAGGGCCTGGACTCTGTCACAGCTGTGGCTCCAAGATAAGTGCCCTGGGCTGATAAATGCTCTCAGGTTCTAGGCAGAGCCAGGGTGTGTGTGTTCGGGGTCACACTCAGGAAGCTCAGCCTCACACCCACTGCCTTCTTAAAGCTTGGGCTAGCATAGGGCACTGTCCTGGAGCTTCCTGTTTTGAAGCTGGATTTGACTGGTCAGAATGACCTCAGGAAAAGAACATGGTGAGGTCCACAAAGGGGGAATTTTCCCAAACGTGACAAGGAAGAAACCAAGGATCTTCCCAGCAAGGGAAGGATGAGGGGCCAGGGGTGACTTGTGAAGCAGAGATAAGAGATGTGCTGGGAAGTTGGAGTGACCAGGCACCTGATGACTCTCTGTTCTCTATTCCTTTGAATGAGATCCAAGGAGAGTTCAAAAGTTCCCCTGTTTAGGGGAAGGCGTGCTAATGGTATTTGGTGTTGGCTCTGTCCAGACTGAGAGTAGGCATTTAGCTGGATGCCTTTGTGTGCTGCAGCATGAGTGGAGGAATGTACGTATTTATCTGTGTGTCTGTGTTGGTTATCAGCATGCCCCCATCTGAGTGCTAGATGCTGGGTGGTGCCTGGGTGTGTGCATTGCTATCTAGAGGTATGGGCACTTCACTGTAAGAGGGACTGAAGACTGGAGGCCTGTCGAGGCTCTGTGGACTCAATGAATGCATCTCTCACACCAAGCAGAACACATGGTCTGAAACATCAAAATAGGCTCTGTGGGACCATGGGATAGCATACTTTAATGTGAGACTATAGCCCACTGGGTAATCTCTATTCATACTCTGTTGTGAGACTTACAGACTGGGAGAATGCTTCATTGGCTTGGCATCTTAGCAATAAGTAAAGCTTCTGATGGGAGGTAGAACTGTTATTTCTCTGGCCAGGAGAAATACAGGATACATGTTCAATAGGTGAATTCCTATTAACTCCCTCAGATTGAGGTGTAGAAGGATGAGTACCCAGGTCAAATTTCAGGTGTATCAGGAGGGAGCTAAAAAGAGAGTTTGGCAAAACCTGTGAAGCTCTCCTTCCTGGATGGTGTTGCTCGGGTCTTCACCTCCATCACAGTGGTGGCCAGCATTGCTGGACAGAGGACAACAGGGCAGCAGTCAGATGACATGCTTTAAATGCAAACATTCTCTGGAAAGCAAGTGACTCAGACGCTCTGTCCCTTGATTCCACATACAGATGCTCGCAGTGTGGCATGGCAAGGGTGTAGTACCCTTTGAGTGCCTGGAGCCAGGGACATGAGGATAGCCCTTATTTACATGCAGCCTAGTCAGCATTGAGAGTAGCAGAAAGGAGGCAGCCTGACCACATGGATAATCCAGATATATTGAGGGTGGTCCCTCTGAGATTAGCACAGGAGAGTTAGAAAGATTATAAAGATACACGATTCCCTCCCTGCTCCCTTCCCCCACCCCCACCCCCAGACAGACACACACAGCACAACAGCCCCTCTCCCCCCACCCGCCTGGTACAAATATGGCTTCTGTGTAATATGGACAGAGTGGTTCAGCTCGAAGAGGAAAAGTCATTTTCCCAAAAGCGGGTGCTGGGAGACAAGGAGCCCGGACAGGAGCCCAACCCTGGGATCCAGGGCTCCCTTGCTGCTATAAGAGGAGAAGCCCTGGCTTAAGCGAGGGGCTACCTGGGGTGCCCAGGTTCCTAACCAGGGGCTGGAAGATTCACTAAGGTATTACCTGAACTGAAGGAGTGGGCAGGCCTGCTGGATTGCAGCTGCCCCATTTTGCACACCTGTTGTCAGAGCAGGGAGGACATGCCAGAGGAGGGGGAGCATGATGCCAAGAGCATCCTGGGTCTAAGGGACAGGCCAGCCAGGATGGAGAGGGTGAGAAAACTCCTCTCCACAGCAACCAGCTTGGCCATAAGAAGGAAGACGGTAAACCAAAAGCTGATATGAGCACCCAGAGAATTCTCTTGTCACTGGGTACAGAAGATGGGAATCCAGGGTCAGTGCCAGGGAGAGGGGTGCATAGCAGAAACTGTGGCCCTGGCTCCATGGCTCAGAGCTGGGAGGTCCAGGGAAAGGTGGTGAATGCGTGGTGTTTCAGAGAGGGACAAAATGCACAGCTGGGTAAACCACATCTGGGGACTCCTCTCTTTCTCATAGGCATTGAGAGTGATCTGGAAATGACTCTGATAAAGCAGCCCCCTAGATGAGGTACAAACCCTGACTATAAACCATCCACTCCCAAAGCCCGCTTCATGTGTCTCATGCCCTGTCCACCCACCCAAGACCCCTGGTCCTTCTCAATCCCTTTTCTTCTTGTTCACACAAACACACATGTACACACATCCATGCCTACTTACACACACTTATACACACAAACACATACACGCACACGCACGTGTACAGAGTTCACATTATTCCCTTGGTTTGGGCAGGAAACAGCTCACTGCAGTGAAGCTCCTTTTAGTAATTTTGTTGTCAAGTCTGCCTGGCTGCTGAGGGAGGAGGGACCGAGGGCTGGCACAGGGAACAGGAGAGGGCACAGGGTGACACAGGGTGGAGGAGTAGTTGCTGAGCAATGCCATAAGAGGAGCGGTTGCCGTGCAACAGTCCAGGGGCTTGGGTAAGAGTGAGGGGCCCCTCCGAGGTCGGGGCAGCAGACGTTGTTCGGGTCCACAGCTGCCTCTTCCACAGCTGCTGAAGCTGGGAGAGAAAGTTGAACTCTACTGTCCCCCAAGGGCAGATTCTGTTTTTAAAAGAACAGCCTAGCTTCAGTCATCGTTTAGGGGCAATAGGTGATCAGGACCATTTCCACCATTCTCTCGGGAAATCTACTCTCTCGGGAGGAACATGTTGAAGCCCTGGATTCCTATGTGGCTGCATGCTATCTCCAGATCACATCTTGAACACTCTCCTCATTTCTTTCTTATGTAATGGAAGAGAAGTGTCAGTGTGACTCCGTGTCTGTAGTGCACGGCCAGCAGAAGAAGAGCCACCACTAGCCCCTGCTTCCACTCCCAGGTTCCTTGGGGCCACATCCGCTGTGAAAATGGAAGGAGGGCTGTGCTAAGCCCCCACCCGCAAACCAGCCCTGCTCCTCATCCGTTTCTAATTCCTCCAACTTCCTCCTCTGAACATTGCAGATTCCTTGCTCTCCTTACGCCCATGGCCTCTGCCTCTCCAGCCTTGGAGACGGATTTGATTTGGGATTGTTACAAAAATAATAATAACCCAAACGCAGTGAAGCCACAAAAGGGGCTGAGGGCAACCCACCCCTCCCACCCGCCCTCCTCCCTCCCCAATTCCAAACCGAGTACAAAACCGCACCCAAAGCAGACATTCTGTACAGGGGGCTGGGTGGACTGGGGAGCAAGCGGGAGGGGCGGCCCTGGGGTCGCTCTGTACAAGTCCAAGTTGGTGACAGCCCAGCAGTCCCCATGGGGCCCCTGGGGGAGGGTGCAGAAGGTGAGTGGTTGCCCCTAGATGAAATATTCCTTCTTGTCATCCCCGCCTGACTGCCCGCCTTCTGCGTTGATGATGGCCGTATCTGCATCTGGGGCGTCGTCGGAGCCCTTCGCTTCGTGTGTCAGGTAGGTTCCTGTGTGGAGACAGAAGCTTCTGTTTTCAGAAGCTTCTCAGCCTCTGAAGTCCATCCTGCCCACGTTCCTACTCACCCACTCACACATTGCTTGTCCCATCTTTCTCTTGCCTGGAGCTTTCTTCCACCCCACCTTCTCTAATTTGCATTTTGTTGCCAACATCCCTCACCTGACCACACCCCCATGAATAATGAATCCTGCTCTTAACTAAAAATCTCATCTATAATGTAGGCAAGGGAAAAAAGAACTGTGCGCATGTGTGCATGCATGTGTGATTGTGTGTGTGCGTGTGTGTGTGTGTGTGTTATGTACAGGAGATATGAATTAGGCATGACCTGTCTACACAGCTAGGCTGGAAGTAGTAACAGAGTAAAAGGAAAAGGAAAAGAAAGAGAAAAGGCAAGCTATGGGAGAGAGGATGAAGAGTAAAGAGACTGAAGAAGGGTAAAAAAGCTTAAGAGAGGGAAAAGAAGACAAGGGCAAGAAGGAAGGGGCTAGAGACTGATTTGCAGGGACCTGAAGGCAGAGCAGCAAAGAGCAGCTGGTTGAGTGGGTAGGTTTGATTGTACTTGGATGCTTACCAAGTGATCAGGCTTGACTGTGGGGTTGCTGTCACTCAGTGATCACAGCATTGGCTTTGCAGGGGTTGGCTGTATGTTTTTTCCTCAGACATACCAAGGGGCTGAATGAGTTTACAGGGCCATTTCTGAATCCCGCTTACTGTCTGTCCTTCCCTAACTGATCTCCCCACCCACCCCAGTCCTCCTGACGCCTCTGACCTTTGTGCCGGATCAAATAGTGTCCAAGGAAAATGAGCAGAATGAGCAGCAGGAAGACAATGAAAGCTACAATCCCTCCAATGATGGCGTGGTACGTACTGGAGGAAGAGGGCACTGGACTTGGGTCTGCAGAGAGGACAGGCATACAGTTAGTACTGGGGAGGATGTTTAACTCAAATGCTAATTTGGCCTGGGATAATCTAACAGGAGGAAAAAGACACCAACATCAGGAGAAACCAGGAGTTGTATTCAAGCACAAGGGGCATGCCCAAGTTAGTGTCCAAGTGGGTATCACCATGCTGGTAGCATAATAATTATTAAATTATTTGTGTGTTCATCAGGCAATAAACAAACCAGTTCTCACTGGACCATCCAAGTTACTTTCTTGGCTTTTAATATTACTTTAATGCCCGTGACCAACATCAAAATTCTTCTCTTCCCTCTTTTCCAACACACACACACACACACGTTTTCCTGTTCCATGACTATCCCCATGTCTTCTCACATCCTGTCTTGGTATTGTGCACTAGCCCCTTTAGGGGATTTGGGAAAGAAACAGTAAAAGTTGATGGATCCAAGAATTAAGCAGTGGTACAGCACCTTGCAAAGAAAATGCTGCTGTGTCACGCTGCATACGATTTATAAGTTTCCCTAGTGAGTAATGCTATAATCTGATATGGATTAGGCAATCTCTACCCTAACATCCTTTTCTTAGCCTGGGCTGTGACCTATACAACTGCCTTACCCCACAACATTTGACTCTGCCTCCAGGTATTTCATCCTTGATGCCTTTAGCTTCCCAGCCTACATTCTTTTGAAAATATCTTGTTTTATTCTTCGGTAACTCTTTCTTGGCAAGGAAAATTAGTGATCCAGTAAAATCCAATCTTCTGACCCTTCCAAGGAAGGAGACCTAGGATTTCTTTTCCACTTTGACATCATCTAAAGGTTTATGCACAAGGTGTGATTGGATTTCTCCTATGATTACTAATGTTCCTTTCATTAGATACACAAAAGTCACCATCCACAATAGTATGGACTGATTTCATAGGACAACGTGGACCAAAGGTGTCAATAAAAGCCCCAACCTTTGTCAGAGACTCAAAAATCTGAGGACAAGTGCACAAACCCAGAGCAGTTGTGATGTCTCTATAGGTATGTTAGCCACAGCTATACTTCACCCACCCAAGGGAGAACTCCTGTCTTTCCACGGGCTCAGCTTGGTTCTTTCAGCCTCATTGACTCCTATCCTTTTGTCTTCCCTACCTTATGTTTTCTCAGGCTTGACTGGGCCAGCTTTTTAGGTCCATGCATTTCTATACCTTATTTGAAAAGAAAACATTTGTGCTTTTGTTGTTTTATGTTCTGCCTGGGAGGGTGGCGTCATGTGTTTCATGGTCAGGCAGGTGTGATGACATGATTTAGGGGAAGATGATACACTGTGAAAATCAATCCTGTATATTTACTCCAGAAGCTATAGAAGTGAACATTTCTTGGAAAAGCACAGTTTTCCACTATCAAAAAACAAACAAACAAACAAAAAAACCAAAAACAAAACAAAAAAACCTGGATTTGGATTTGTCTTTTTTTTTTTTGGCACATTTTTACAGAGGAGATTCCCAAAGAGGCTGCAGTAACTGCTTCTACCACTAGGCGTCAGCACTGGCAGCAAACTATCAACCTACTCTCTCTTAGCTTTTTAGCCCAGGGCAGGATCAAGAAGATACCAACTGAAGGCCGTCCATAGGACTTTCATGAGGAGGTACTGGGAAGAAAGCAAGGGCTGGTATTGGAATATAAAGTGAATAAATAAATAAATAAATTTAATAAAAATGAAGATACTAATTGCAGGGCATGTAAACTTTCATTCACTGCTGTTTCCCATCAGAAGCGATCTGGAGATATCTAAGGGGTTGAGCCTAAATCCCAGTGCCTTGTCACAGCAATCTAAATCTTGTACTAGTCCTGTTGCTGTGTTGAGGAATTTCCATGAGCTGAGAGAGGTTGTCTCTAGTGTCATAATCATCAAGGCATATACTCTGGTCCCAAGCATTTAGGTTTCAGGCCTCTTTCTCATCCCTGAGATTCTGGGTATTAGACATCCCACTCTCTGCCTTACTGAGCATGTCAGATGATGAAATGTAGGACCTTGAAAGGCAGCCTGGTTTCTGGTCAAGCACAGGCTAGAATCCACTGGAGACCTGGCAATCCTGAGGGATGACAGTTGTTTCCTCATACCTCCAGACTCTAGGCTCCTGACACGAGGCTGCAGCCCTCCATAGATTTATGTCTTTTAGCCACATACCCTCAAGACAGATCTCCATATTAATGAGGTACCTAAAGGCCAAAAGGGCTTAGCCAATTAAGCATTCCTTCCCAGACACTCCTCCCTGCAAAAAGTATTTAACCTCAGGCTCACCCTGAGATACTGGGATATGGTTTATCATCTACTTTCCATCATGACAATAAACATCTTAAAACTGTGGACTGTTTCTCTTTCATTGAGATCTGCTGTGGGGAGCAATGGGGAAGGCCTTCGTCTACAGAGCCTCCATCTAATCTCCTGCAGAAGACCTCTCTGTGTTCCCAGCCACTGCGACCACCAACCCAAGGGAGCCAGCCAAGACCAAACCTAGCCAAACCACAGCAACAAGCCAAGGACTCTCTCTGTGGGGCACAGCTGGAGCTTCTCTTCTCCCCTTCAGCCATGGGCCAATCCAGGCAGTGGGCCCCAACTTTGTTCTCTTTTTCGGCTTCTGGCAGTGCCTGGGTGCCCAAGAGCCTGAGAACCAGTTGGTCCCCATGCTACAGGCCCGGGGATCCCCCACCCCAGCTAGCTCCAGTTCCCCTAAGGACCTCAGACTGTGCTCCCTCACCTCCAAAGCAGTGTTCCCACAGGCCGACACCCACCCGGTGCCAGGGGTAAGAGTGCAGGCAAACTTCCTGCGTCCAGCGTCTGCCTCCACAAGCAGTGGCCTTAACACCGTGGTGGGGCAGACACGGGACCCCCACTTTAACCCAACAATTAAAGATCCTGAATTTTCTTCAGGGTCTGAAGATTTGAATGTCTCCTTTGTGTTTGTATGGTATGTACATATGTATGACTGTGCGTGTGTCCACTAATGCCCACGCATGTCCATGCACTAACCGTATAAGCCACAGGAATGCCATCTATGCAATGTACTGAACAGGATTATCTCCCATTAGCTGAGTGATCACCAAGTAGGATAGGTTGTCTCTGCCTCCCTAACACTGAGATTACAAATGTGAATTACTGCACTTAGTTTTGTTTTACTGTAACTGGCAAATACTGACTAGCTTAATTTTTTAGGTGTCTGGTGCCTCCAGTTTTTGAGAGGAATTTCAGTAAAAGGCAATTCCCTGTCCCTTTGGGAGGAATAGCATTAGAGAAGTGATTCTGGTCATCTCTCAGCATAGAGCGTGCTTGTTTCTTTTTCTTCTTGGCCAGACTATAATGTGCACAGAGTCCTGAGGAAAGAGACTGGAGGCAGAAGCTTGCACACCACATCCAGTCCTAGGAGAAGGAGGATCTCATCAGAAAGCACACATGCTTTCAAGAAAGGCATCTAATGAAGTTAATATTCTCCCCATCAGATGATAAAGATGGTTCCAGAGGAGCTACTGCCTATATAGAGAGACAGTGGGAGCTCATCTTTCTATTGATTAAGCATAGCTACACACTCCTCAGGCCTAAGTGCCATGCTTTCCAATAGTGGGTGTTTTCCATCCACCAAACTACCATACAAAGTTGAGGTTTGCTCTTAGGAGAATAAGAGATGACCAGAGAAAGAAGATGTGAGGGAAGAAAAGCAGGGGACACTCACCATTGACATTGAGGGTGAAGTAGGCCGTATAGCTGCCCATGTTGCTTGTGGCTGTACAGCCATAGGTCCCACTGTCACTCTTGTTCAAAAAGGGAAAGATGAGAGCACTCTCCTGGGTCATCTTGAGGGGTGGCACGCTGCCTTCCTTTACCCACAGGTACTTCTGGGGCCTGTTGAGATAGAAAGGTGAGATTCGGTCAGCATGGCCTTGAGCAGTGGGCTAGAGGAATTAAAAATGAACTAGTATCACAGAAATCAGAAGCAGCATGGTGATGCTAAACAGCATTGAAGATGCTATATGGGCTGGAGAGTGGGCATTGGCGGTGGTGTGGAGTATCAATCAGTCTTGGGGGAAATTTGGAGAAGGCGGAGATGTTTTGATCCCTATCTTACTATAACGTTGTTCCTTAGGGGATTCAAAGGAACTGAGTTAGGGAGTGTTCCAACCTCACTTCTGCTGTTCTGCAGTGGAAATAAAGGAGAAGCGCAGCTGTACAGTTAGGGGAGTATGAGGTATGCCTCGGTGGGCATCAGAGGTCCTTGGGGAGAAGATGTATAGTGAGAATGGTTATCTGAGAAGGTGGAGGGGTATTGGAGACCAAAGGCTGTTCTTCTTACACTGGATTTCCACGCCCCTCACAATGTAACAACAGCTTCTGGCCTTCACGAGGATGAGCAGGTTCTGGCCTAATCATGGCTGTTGGTGTGTCTGTGGACAAGTACATGATGTCAGCACAAAATTCCCCGCTCTGTATAAGAGACTCTTAAAACTTTGGACTCACCTAATTACATGTTACAGACTCTACCTCTCACCCCCAATGTCTCAGAAGCCTGAGAGTCAATGAACAAGATCTTCTTCCTCCTGACTCTTGAGAACACAGATTGTGACCGCCATTGACTATGAGAGCAGCCTGCTGTAACTCAACCTCTGAGTGCTGGCATTCCAGCAAGGCTGCCCTTGGTGGGACCTATAGGATGTCTTAGCAGAGCTGAGGAGAAGCCATAGTTTATTCATGCCTAGGAAAACTGCCTGGCACATAGACAGGACCTAATATGTGTTTTTGAATGAACAAAGAAAGTGAACTTGACACTGACTTGGTTCACAACCTCTCTATTCCATTTACTCTGTGAGAGAGCTTCCGAGTGAAAGCAACGCTTGAACACAAAACATCCATTTGAACTGTCAGTCCAAACATGGAACGGGAGCACAGAAACAGTGAGGAGTTGGGGGTCATATTTTGGCAGAGGAAAAAAAAAAAGCCTGAGACAACATAGATGGGTCTGTGTGGGAATAATGACATCTGTCATTGATGCCAAAAGGCTGCTTTGGAAACTGGATCCAGATGGTGGCTTAGAACAATGTGACCAGATGCTGGTTTGTAACCACGGATAAAGAGGCTGTACTTTCCCTAAGGACAGGGCCAACCTTAACAAGCAGTTAATGAACATGCTTCAGTTAAATCATATAGGACAAAGGGTGCCAGGCCAGGTGAGAGAATGGGTTTTCCAGGACTTCACAGCTAAAGGGATCTCTAGCATAGGATCTGGAACGTAGCATTTGTTGACTGACTGATCACAGGCCAAAGAGGACCCTGAAGAGTAATAATAGTCAGGTGGCCTGGTATGTAAGAGGGGACTGTTGGAACTCCAATAGCATAAAATATTCCTCAGTTATGGCCAGGGAGCCAGGACTCAAGGAACTGCCCAAGGTCAAGTGCCTCACACTTGGAACTAATAAACACAGAAACTTTACAATAATTTAGACCTCAAAAGTTTGTAGGGTTCTTTCATATGATTCCATTTGTTCCCAGTATAATTCAGAATGGTAAGCTAGATTCACAGAAAGATCTAACGCTTTGGTCAAGGTACATATAGCTATTATGTGTCAGTCCTGGCTAAAACAGCAATCTACCAATTGATTGTCATTCAAACAGACAACGGTACTGTTTGAAATTGACTCATGTTAAAGTTTGAATAAAGGGTCTAGCTACTGATTAAACGGCACTGGAGTTAGGAAATTAATCAGCTTATATCTTCCATAAAGAGATTAAAAGCTCTAGCTATTTTTTTTTAAATCCCTCAGCCTTATTGGTACACTAGGAAAAGAAAGACATTGTAGTCTATGCCTCCATGCTTGGCTTCCACACTTCACTTATACCCTTGCTTTTCTGTATATGAAAGTCCTTTTAAAAAAAAGTTTCCAGATTTCCTCAGATGAGAAATTCTCAACTGATTTCTTCAGATATCCCTTACTAGTACCAAAAGCAGAGTCCATGAACAGGACTAAGAAGTGTGGAGAAAGGTTGTAGCTGTGATCCTGACAACTGGCCATGTTCAGTCAGAATCCCAAGTGGAAGCCCAGAATTGCTTGCGGCATATAGAGAAACAGGAGGTAAAAGTCCTCAAAAGCACAAGCAAGGATTAGGCTTTTCTTTCATGCACACCTCCTGGCCTCATGGACTATTAGAGTGTGAAAAGGTCATAATGACAGCCATGCCCACCTCACTTATTTAACAAATAGACAACCAAGATCAGTCTGAGAGACCACACAACCAACACCACACAACCAGTGTGTAATGGACTACAGACTAGTAACTATATCCAAGACTCTGGGTTTGCTACATTTACCACACTAGTTTACAGTCTAGTGCCATGGTCACCAGTGCAGCCCAAGGGCTGGTAAACTTTGCCTGCAAGCCAAATCTTGCCTGCTGCAAGCTTTTGTAAATAAAGTTTTATTGGAATGTAGCCCAACTCATTTGTTCATGCTTTGTCTGTGGCTGCTCTCCTGCAGCACAAGCAGACATGGATACAAAGACCTCAGCTCTCGAAGCCATCAATGATTACTAAAGGCCTTCTCTTGTGAAGCCTTGCTTGCTGCCACATCTGTGCATGTGGCTTCATGTGCAACCAGCAGTGCTTTTCTTTTCCTCACTGCCTACCTCACACCTGGTCCTTCTCAGCCCAAAGCCCATGACATACATAACACTTCAATGCGCTGAGAAGTGGATCTGTCAGCTCCCTTCAGAGATTCATGGTTCACAGAGCACACGATGTTTGCTCCATCATCCTCCCGGGTAACCTGGAATGACACTGAGCTGCTCACAGTGAAGGTTTTCCCATTGGGATCTTCCTGGATTCGTGTTTGGTCCCCTGGAATGCAGAAACAGACAGATAGAAACACACACACACACACACACACACACACACACACACATATCTCAGCCACCCCTCCTGGAACTCCAATCCTGGAAACTCCAGAGCAGGAACTACTCACCGTGGAGTTCTTGGTCACCTTTCCGCCAGGTGAGCTGGGCTGCAGGTTTGCTCCCAGAAGACTGACAATTTAGGGTGGCTGTGTCCTTTTCCCGCAACGATGACTTATAACCAGTGATTACGGGTTTCTGTGGGATTCCTGCCATGCATAGTGGATGGCCAGGATAGGAAAGAGAGGCACCATGAAGTCACAGTTCAAACTCTCCCTGTTGATATGTCCTCTACACGGGTCAGGACATCTGAGCTCTACTTTGGTTTAGCAAGATGGATAAAAGCATAAAGAGTCAACATTCCTGTTGGTCTATCCACTTCCTGAGGACAAGTCTTCCATAGGAAGACTAAAGGGAGAAAGTATGGTAGTGTAGGAGGGATAGAAAGGGCCACACCTCAAGGATGATAGTGATTGGATAGCTCAGAGTGCAGCTAGGGGCCCTGCAGGTAATGAGAGGCTCAAGAGAGTACAGATGGAAATCAGAATACAGGATGAAGATAACTGTATTTTCAAACAACTAAAGAATCTTCTTGGAAACTAGAATTAGACATTGCATATAGACCTTGTGTTTCCCCATACAATTTTTGGAGTGAAGTGGAATGATCATTCTTTGCTATAAATTACAAACTTTGTTCTTAAAGAATGAGAGTTGTCCCAGATCATACAGTAAGTGCAGCAGATTAGAACTCTGTTTCCCTCATATTTAAAGGGAAATGTTTAGGATTTTTCTGATATTATTGGAGGCTTGCCTGGCTCTGGGACGCTTTGGAGACCAACTGATGGAGGTTTGTTTGCAAAGCAGCATGGTGTGGAGACACAGGGGTTTTGAGAACCTCACCGAGCACAGTGACAAGGGACTTGGCGGTTCGCACAGGCATAGTAAAGATGGAGCATGTGTACTCGCCCTCGTCTGCCAGTGCCACATTGCTGATGCTGATGCTGAGCTCGTGTGGAGTGGAGCTAACCAGCTGAATCCGATTATCTCGAAGGGCTGGGGAAATCAGAAGAAATGAGAGTCAGGATTCTACCAGTACCTTGCATGTTTCTTTCATGTTTACTTTCCATTCCTGGACCAATGTCATTGAGGGGAAGGGATGAGCAGAGTGGTGGGGGCGGAGGCCAAAAACAAAACAGAACAATCCACTTCTGGATTCCTCACAGAAGCATTCAGTGACTTTCATGAGCTACTGGGGATAGTAGCTTAAGAGGCTAGTACTACAATCTGTGTCTTGTATAATTACTTCAGAGAGAACTGGAGTTGCCTGACGTTAGTTCTCATAAGGACTTCTTTGGGGTGATACTACTCCAGGACCCTATAAGACTATGTATGCATGGCTGAGGCCAGAAATGTAGTACTGGTTTTTCTTAGCCTCTGGACTACACAGAAATCTCCCATCAGCCTCTGCTGCCCTGTTTTCCTTAGCCCATGGCTCCCATGGAAAAAGGTCATTCATGAGACATTACCTCTCTTCTCCCCAAAGTACAGAGTCTGCTGGGCAGGGTTAGACCACTGCAGAGAGGAGTCTTCATGGTCTTTCACTTGACACTTGAGCACTACTGTGCCACCAGCCACCACTGTCTCGTCAGATGTCCAGGGCTGGCTATCTGCAGGGGTAGAGCAGAGTTAGTTTCCCAAAGAACCCTGAGAATGTCTACCCATTACTGGGCCACAGGCCACCTCATCTAATTCAGGCTATCCAAGGCTCTGGTCTCTGTATTCTCTTGAGGCTTCATGGGTGAGCGAACAGAGGTGGTGGTGGCAGTGGAGGGGAGGCAGACCTGATCTTCTCTTTCTTCGGAGACACAGAAAGCTTCACCTCTTGTTGAGTGTTAGATGAATGGACAGGGTCACAAACACTGAAAGGATAAAGGAACCCATATCTGAACATACTATTCCACATGTGTCTCTTTAGATATGGCCTGCCATTCATCATTGAGACCACACACGCACCTCTCCCATCCTATGTCTTGCCTTCCTGTTACCATCTATGATGAGAGCAAAATCAGTAGAAGCAATTATAACTAATAACCAACACTGTAATGGGGTAAAGCCTAAACCAGCCCTTGATGTGTACATTCATCTATACAAAAAAAAGCAAAGCAAACAAAATAGAAACTTAAAAAGTCAAAACATTTTAGCATATTTTACAACTTTTCTAGCATTTGCTTCAGTCCAATCATCAGATCTCTCAGCAGGCTTTACCACTGCTATTAGTTACTGTGGCTGCTATTGAGACAAGGCCTTACTATGCAGTCCTGGCTGGCCGGGTACTTACTGTGTATTCAAGATGGCCTTTAATTTACCAAAATTTGTCTGCCTCGGCTTTCTAAGTGCTGGGATTATAGGCATGCAAAATTGAATCAAACTATTTGTTCTCTCTTTTTTTTTGTTTCTCTTGTAAATCTGCTTGTTTCCCCAACTATAAACCCAAGTCCTCACCCTGATATCATTTAAAGAGTAAAAGACTAAATTTTCCCCCTTAGTGTGCCTAAGCATAATTTCTAACTTCTCTCTCCTTAGAGAAATTCAATAAAACACAAACAGAAGCTCAGTTGATAGATTCCGTGCCTAGCACGCATGGAGCCCTGGATTGGACCCCCAGTACCACAATGGCTGTTCTGGTGGAGCAACACTATCCCATCACTCAGGAAGTAGAGACAGGTGGAGCAGAAGTTGTAAGTTATCCTTGGCTATGTGCTGAGAGGCCAACTTGGACTGCATACACCCTGTGTCAAAAATGGGAGGAAAGAGAGAGAGAGAGGGAGAGAGAGAGAGGGAGAGAGAGAGAGGGAGAGAGAGAGAGAGAGAGAGAGAGAGAGAGAGAGAGAGAGAGAGAGAGGAGAAAGGCAGGGAGGATGGGGGGAGGGAGGGAGAGAGGCGGAACAGAGGGAGGGAGGAAGAAATCCAAGGTGTTTTTTGGTTGGTTGGTTTGTTGGTTTTTTGTTTGTTTGTTTGTTTGTTTGTTTTTATATAAATCAATTGAATGCCAAATGAACCTTCTCCTAAGGTCTAGCTGTGAACCTCTCCGATACTGACATCTGTTTTCACCACCAGGCACCGTGCTAAAGTTCCCACAGCAAGGATTCTGATTCTTAATATTGATTCCCTCATCTTCAGAGTCACTTTTAGTGACCCAAAAGCAGTGACCTCCTCAGAACAAATCTAAAATAATCATCTCCATGCTCTGATTCAAGAATGTCCAAAAGTCTGTTCTATGTCACAGAATTAATTCCACAACCAGCACTATTCACAGCTCCACAGGAAACTGGGAAACACACTTACCACATCCTCTACAGAGCACTATAAAAAAAGACAGTCAGTCCAATGTTTTCCTTGTCACAGACTTGACCCCTACCCAATCTGCCTACTTGTTCGTTTCCTAGTCCTGCATTGATTTTAGTAGAGAGGGAAGGCATACTGGAAATTATGCCAAGAAAGACATGCCATTAAGGGCAGTAGTTTCCCAATTGGAGTATGAAGCCTGATGGTTGTGACTGCCTAGAATGGTAAAAGCTGGGACTGAGGGAGCGTCTTCCATTTCCTAGGCACAGGCAACAAGGCAGCAGAAGTGAAGAGATCCCTAAGATCGGCTCACTATTTCTGAACACCAGAGTTACATTCTGTCTTCCACACAGAGCTGTTCTCATTGAGTTCTTCCTAAAGTGATCTTCTGAATGGACAATTCAAACCTGTGATGGATTTGGAGATTTCTGTGTAGTCACAGAGCAAATTTGGAAGTAAAATTTTCTCAAAATTTCTCAATGGAAGGTGTCTGAGGACATTCATTTGCAACTGAAGTAAATCACTTTCCAACCTCTAATCCCTCTGTCCTTGTCTCCCTTGAAGAGTTCTTCTTTGCCAGTGCCTCTCCAGGACTCTTTGTTTTGAGTAATCCGCTTTTCTGGAGCCATTTTATTTTTGGAAACAGGTGTAGGGTTACAGAGGTCTCTGTACCGGAGTGAGGGAGAGGATTGGTGCATGGAAAAGTGGTGGTGCAGAGCTAAGATCTAGATGTCAAATGGGAAGGAGAAAGCTGTGTGGTGATGAGTGGCGTGAGAACATGGGGTGGGGTACCATGAGTGGGAGATGGTTTGAGGATGAGAGAGACATCTGTAGAACGTTGAGATGAAGGGCCTGGTTTCTCACCTTGACTGGCCAGCAGGTCAGGGCTGCTCCAGACTGTGGAGCTGAGGGCCTCCTCCAGTGGAGCCAGAGTTCCCAGCTCCAAATCCTGCTCCTGCCAGTAGCCTGGGGAGAGAATCTCCATCAAGGATGAACCCTGTGCAAACTGCTATAGTTCGTGTCTAAACTTTCATGGTGGGGGTGTGGAGGGGATAGCCCTCTATGGAAAGGAGCTTCATCAGCAAACCTAAGGGAAAGTGAGACATTAGCAAGAGTTCTGAGAAAGGAAACAACTTCTCTGATCGGCCATTTAAGAAGGATGCTGAGCTTTATCTGTCAATCACATGGTGTTTGGGCCCAAAAAAAAAAAAAAAAAAAAAAAAAAAAGATCTTGAAGGCCAATCAGTCCAGTTTCCCCACCTCACAGATAAGGACAAAGAATCCCACAAAAGATTGTGAGTGGTTCACTACTGAAAAATGGAAAAGTAAAAAATAAAAAAATAAAAAGAAAATGAAAAAAAAAACCAAAACTAAAAAACAAACAAACAAAAAAAACCCAACACATTTTAAACTCCTTATCCAGGACTCTTCTTGTTATACCATATTATCTATTAACACAACAGCATGTTTAAACATTAGAATGTATTTTCACGTTTAATTCTTTCACTAAACCTATAAAAAGTGGTGATGTCATCACTCCTGTTTTGCCATGTGGAAGCAGAGTGAAATGACTTGCCCAAAGCCATACACATTAAGTAGAGACTAGAAATGAAATGCATGATTTCAAATCCAATGCTCTTTGTTCCAAGGTGAGATCCTTCTCACTGAAGAGAGATCATTTGGGGCTGGAAGTCACACTACAGCTTCTCAGTAAGCCCAGATCCTCTTCAGTTTTCATGCTAGACTCCAAGGCTTTCGTCTCACTGAGTCTGTGCCTTCCTCGGATGCCACCAAATCTTTTCACCCAGACAATGGTCACCAGTTCTCTTAGAACTAGATCGCTTTTATACTCTATTGTGAAATACAGCAGTGTCTGGGGTTCACAGCCCTAATCCAAACCAAAAGAACAGAGGGACAAAGAACCCAGCTAAGCACCTTCTCATGATCTCCCGCCACAGAGTCCTAGCGTAGCCAATCACATCGCAAAATTTCAGTGAGATCATCAGCTGCTGAGTAGAGACTGGAATCGATTCTTTTCCTGGGACAGCAGTGCAGTGCAGTGCAGGGAGAAGTTTCTCAGTGGTCCCAGCATGCGCAACAGTAAGTGTGTGTGTGGTGGGGGTGGGGGTGGCCCGGAGGGATAAAGAAGGTGGAGGTGGGGCTAAGAGAGGGCAGGTGGGTGGGTCAAAACTGAAAAAAGAAGAAAGGGGACAGGTCTAGGGAGAGAGAAGGGTAAAGAAGAAAAGAGAAAGCAAGCTGGTGCAGAGAGAATAGAGAAGAAAAAGACATAGACTTTGAAAGAGGGGTGGGGAGGGAGAGAGGAGAGAGCAAGAGAGTGCTCACATCAGATAAAGCTCTAAGAGAGCTTCGTGGGCGGGCTGACAGCAGTGTAAACATCCCCCTAACCCCACACTGCTTCTGATCTGGGTCTTCCAGAAGATTTGTGAATTTATTTTTCTCTGAGCAAAGTTGAGAGACAAAGTACATCAGGTGAAGAGGAGTTGGGGAGTGGGGCAAAAGCAATTGATGAAGACAAAGGAGACAAGGATGAGAGAAAGAAAGAGGATGGGGCTCTCAATTCCAGCAGAGAGGCAGTCGGGAGTTTGCAGAGTCCTTTTTCTGGGAATGTTTTGTGTGGACATCAAGGACGAGGATATCTGAACATTAGTGAATGTTTCAAATTACTTTTCAGGTTATATGTTTTGGAGTGTGCTGTGTCAATATCAAGTAGGAAACAGGATTGGTTTTACTGGAGCATGGAGTGCTGGACTGACAGGGAGAAACCAGGTAAGAGGTCTATGTGTCTACATACAACACAGGTACTCAGCAGACAGTCTAAGAACTACTACACAGACTTTTACTCAAATGGGCTGATGGAATAGCCTTGTCATACTTCAGTGTGGGACTTTTAGTTTGCAGAGTAGATTTTCACCCATGATGTCATCTTATCTCAAAACAATTGCAAGGGATAGGCAGCCAGGTATAATCACTTTTAAAGTTGACATCCAAAAAACATCATTGGTTCACCTGAAGGAACCCAAATAGCACACTTCTCAAGAACCCTTCCTGTCCCTTGGGGATTCCTCAGCTTTCAACAACCTCTGTTTTCTCCAGCATTTCCTGACACTATACTGGTGTGTTTGTTCAGTTATCAGGCTCCTCATGTGAACTCTGAGCTGGTTAAGAGCAGACACACTACCATTTTAATCTACATTTCCTTAACACTTGCATTCTCGTGAGCTCTTGGGCATGTAACTAGCCTGGTATTTCGCCACCTCCACACCAGGCTGTACATACTGCTCATCAGGCAGACCGTTTCTGC